TAGTCTTCCATTGTCATCATGGCCTACCGCTCCCCTCTGGTTCTGTGCCTGGTGGCTGCCGCCGTGCTGCTGCTTGCGCCTCAGGCTTTTGTTCCGTCGCCAAGGAGCCAGGCAACAGGGGCTGCGCTCGCCGCAGGCGCAGCCGCAGGATCCATGGCAGTGCCAGCATGGGCCTACGATCAGCAGATGATGGATGCTCAAATGTTGCTGGCCCGCATTCCTGGCGGCAAGCGCACCCAGGAGCTTGGCCTCATCATCCCAATTGCTGAGGAGGATGGCCTGACCGATGGACAGGTGGCTGGTCTGTTCGTCATCGCGCTTGTGGTGTTCATCGCCGCCCTGGACCTGGCCAAGACGCTGTACAACGGCATCAACCCCGCCAAGTTCAAGACTGCCAAGGGCAAGGGCTACATCAGCCCTCTGGTGAAGCGCTACATTGAGAACGGCTACTAAATGTCCACCTGCATCGCCGTGCTACCAGTCTGCGTGAAGCCTTTTTAAAAGACACGCGGCTTGAATGCTACCAAAAGGCATGCTGCGTGGGAAAAGTTGTTGTTGGCTGCGGTTTGAGGGTTTAGTATTTCATGGGCTTTCCCATACCGGGCAGGCCTGAACGGTCTCCTCGGCAACGCGCTACAGGGCGGAGGATCTCTACTCGAGGTGCTTCTGGGATCAGTTGCAGGATATGGGTTTCATGTCGGACACCCAGTCAGGTCTGTGGACTCCCGGGCAGCGGCAAGACACAGTTTTGCCTGTCCCCTTGGCCTGGTTCATTGATCTTCAATGCAGTCCATGTATGTCCATGTGCTTGAAAATGGACATCCCCAAGCCAGGCAGCTGTGTGCTGCTGCACAAATTTCGCAGCACTGCCCTCAGCACTTAGCGATGGCATTCCCGGGATGAAGAACCCTTTGCAGCAAGGGCATCCCATTTCAAGAGCAAGTCCCAAGGTTGCATCTTCAAAAGTGTTGGGTTCGACTGTAGGACCATGCCTGGCGCCCCGGACTCGCTGGCTGAGGTGCGCTTCATTTGCTCGTGGGCATGGGTCTTCATGGGTCCAAACCTGCCCATTCTATCTTGAAAGGCCATCTACGTGGACACGGAGGGATCCTTCGTCCCAGAGAGATACATGCAGGCCGTGAACGGCTTGGGGATGGCCGCAGTGCTTGCTGCGTGAAGCTTGATGAAGACCCGCTGCCAGATTTGCGAAGCGCTGCTGGCTGAGACAAGGCTTGTGTGGATATGTGTGGATACAGTATCGTTTGGAGATCATCGCAGAATGACAGCTCTGGTGCATTGCACAGGCCAACGCTCGATGCGGCCTCGGCTGCTCGCCTCCTAGAGGCGCCTGCAACCTCAACGGGCATCCCCATCTGAATCCTTAAGAGAGTGCGTCTTCTTCCCGTCTTGTTGGAGGCTGGCATGCGCAGACTACACGTTTGCCGCGCAGAGCCTCCTTTCAATTGGGCAGATAGCATCACTAGCATCACATGTCAGCCATCATTTGAATTAGCTCATTCGCCGAGTACGATGCAACGGAGCTATACTCCACCGTCAAGCAGCTTGGCAGTTTCATCAAGGCAGCGATTCGCTTTTTGAGCCGGCCTTCATCTCTATGCAAGAAGTCTGTTTCAGGGTCGACCTCGTGTTCGTGCCCTTGTTGTGGACTCGATCGCCTTCAGCTTTAGGCATGCCGCTGGTCTGACACGAGCTAAAGAATGCACACGTGAACCAGGCATGAAGCTGTGCAGAGGAGTATGATTTTTGCAGCTCAAATCCAGCAGCTGAGGAGCTTATGGATAACACCGCGCAGCGTGCCAGGGTGGACTGCAGCTGCTTTCATGCTATTTCGCTGTTGTAGTCACGGTTCAGCATACGTGTTCCAACAGAAGAGAAACATCAAAGTGATTCGTCAGCAAAGTGACACTGTAGTTTCTGTGCTCTCGACATTCCCTTGAGAAGTTTCTACACAACAGTGTTCGCTGGTGGCAGCAACAACGTGCTCTTGATTTCTGCAGATCGCTCCGGCGCATTTGGGCTCAGACCTTGTCATCATTTGTGTATTTGTTATCGGGTTCAGCCACTTAACAGCGGGGCGTACGCCCCTGCGCCTTGAGTTGCAATCCAGGCTTCGCGTAGCGCTCGATACTGGTAAAGTCTAAACATGATGATCAGGTTCTCAGCGAAGAAGTCCCCGAGCCCTGGCCCACCTCGAATGCACATCTCAGGCCGAAAGGCTCATGCAGCCTTGGGAGCTGGTCCCAAAGGACGCTTGAGCAAGGGCTTTTGGTTGAGCTCCTCTAGGGATGAGGAGAAACTTTTGGGGATGAATTTCGGTAGCCAAGTTCAGTACAAAGGTGCTTGCAAAATACCTGCAAGGCCCAGCCCCAAAGAAAAAATGAATAATTTGATATTACAGATATTATAGAAATGCTGGAGTTCCGTGGACCTGTGCAGGGGGAAGTCTGCGAATGAATAGTGCTCCTCGCTACCAGGACACCATCTCCAAAGAAATACGACACTTGGCCTTCAAAGTCAAGGTGGCGGCAAGGCTGTTAGTATGTGAAAAGGAAAATGAAAGTTGCGAGTGCTGCTTAGCTCCAAAGACATGTACCCAGCCCTTTGGAACTGAAGCCTTTGGGGCCGGCTTGCAGCATGGGCGAATGGCTCGCTGAGGTGATTTCAGAGACCGAGCTTTGGATGTGACTGGGCAAAACAAGCCATTGCCGCATACACATACACTGGAGCAGCAAGGACGCACATGTTCTTGCTTGTTCTTTATCCTCGCTTCAGTGTCTGTTTGCCTTTCTTTTGCTCTTGCTTCTGGGTGAGTGTGTAACAGCGCAGTACAAACGCGAGAACCGGGTGTGAAATTCCAAGAGCCATACCAGCGAACGACAACCACCGCTTGCACAAGGCGGCGAGCACCTGCGCGACAGAGCTCGAAGCAACGTGTGCCAGAGCCTCGCAAGGGTCCGTGGCTTCATAAATCGTCATGCAATGCAGGGATCTCATGATGTGTCACTTTCAGAGCGTCAGATTCTATGGTTGGGGTGCAGTGATTCGGGTCCTCGAGATTGCGCAAGGGTATTGAGTCCATGGTTTGCATATTTGCTTCGCATTTGGGATTTCGGGCTGGATAAGAATTGTCAATGCACTGGCAGTGATGCAGGGTTGAGATATAGGACGCCCAAACCTGCCAGAAACATTTAGCAATTAGATTTTCCGTACAAAACGGCAAAGGCTCAATACACATTTCATTGTTGAATCATGGTAGGTTGCCCCTTGCTAGCCTGCTGCATGGAGCCTGCCCAGCTAGGCGCTGCCACGCATCTTACTTGAGCCTCAATGGAAAGAAGGTGCACGCTTATTGCAGACGGGGGGCTTTGAAAAAGCTGGATAATGCGCTAGGATGCGCTAGGGCTGGGGTTGAGGCAACGGCAAAGCGCAGTTTGCATCTCTTGCTAGCTCGAGTTCCAAGTTGTATCATCATGTGACGCGTGGATTGGCGTCCCCTGGCCAGACTTCAAGACGTTTGGTTGGCAAAACATTCCGGCGATGGATCCGGGGCGTTTTTCGTCACCCCGGCTTGTTTTGACAGTCTTTCCTACAGCTCCAGAAACGTAACAAATCTGTGGCTGTGCTTGCCTAGCAATCCCTCATTCTATGTGTTCTGAGGGGGGAGTAGTGATCAGCAGCGGCCCGCCACAGTGCAGATATCAGGTTGGACCACCTGATTCGACCGTGGTGCGAAGGTGGGCCGCCGCAGGTTTGCAAAGATCTCCTATCGCACTCTTTGCATCATGTATGCGACTGCAAGACGATCCGCCTCGTCATGCACAGCAGGTCTGCACGCCCAGATAGAGGTCCATGTGGACCACGCATCGGGAAGAAAAGTTGTAGCCAAGCGCTTCTCCAGGCGCGTGAAAAGCAATCATTTGAGTTGCCACAAGCAGCATGTAGCATCAGGTGACCAAGCAATAGCTTCATGTGACTGCCAGGACCTACCTGCAAGAAAGCCCCCGTCTATTTCGGGAGTCAGATGCATTCTGCGGTGAGGACGGCATGGTCACGGATGTGCCTTTTCCTTCCCTTTATTGCAAGCAACTTGGACCGATGCTGTGCTTCAGGATCCCTGGACGGAGATGTTCCTGGCTACAAAACTGGGGCAGGCCCACTAACTCCAGATCAATTTCAGATCTTTTGTGCGCTTCCAATGGCATGTTGAGTTCGGCAGCAGCAAAGTTTGACCCAGCCACCCTTCTTTGTCCATAACCCGGCCTCCTGTGGAGATCCTGGATTATGCAACGATTGCGCAGTGTTGCAACATCGCCAGGGCGAATCTGCATGCAGTTTCTGACTACTGGGGGGGCCTGGGAGGGTTCAGAGACGTTCTGCCGGGTGGCCCGCAGTGGCGTCGAAGCCAGAACGCTTGAAAGCCAGGCAGGGGCTGCAGGAACCCATCCCACGAGTATCCCGGGTTGTGCTTCCGCGCATTGTCCGGAGACAGGAAGAAAAAGGAAGGAGCGCCAAGTAGCGGTGTGTGTGTGAAATTAGTTTGGGACGGTGAACTTTGCTATTAAGCGCACGGCCGCCGTGTAACCTCCTTGGCAGGGAAAGTAAACTAAGTGCGCATGGAGCAGCTTGCCAGGGCCCTGACCGTATCAAGGGAGCCCACACCTTAGTGTCGCAAGGAGTGGCCGAGACGGTCATTCCACTTCCACATTGGCATTTAAGCCAAAGTAGTCTCACTCAGGTCTTACCTTGTCATGGCGTGTACCGGGACGAGGGCCATTGCCTCTGTGCTGCCCCTTCAAAAACTTGCAGATTGTGATCCATGCAGTCGAATTTTCACCCCCTCAGTTCTTATTGCTCTTGGAAAGAGTTCCGTGGCTTATGCTAACCCGTATAGGTCTTGTGGAGCAGCATAGCACTCTGATGATGTAGCAGGTATCTGGGTTTCGCAAAGATGTGACTGAGGTGATGCTCTGTTGTTGTTGGAATGGGCCTCTGGCGGCGATGTATTTGAGTTTGTCTGCCGCTCAGTTTGTTTGAAAGTTGGCCCGCTAGATCTGCTTGTCTTGTTCCGCACTGTGGAGTTTACCTGTGCCCAGGCTAGTAGCCTTGGCGAACCTGGCCCGAGCAGGGAAGCGCAGGCAGAGCATCTGCACTACAGAGAAAGACAGTCCATCAATGGGTTTCGTTGATGAACACCCTACGAATTCTCAAGCATTCCCAGCTCTTCGGCTCAAACTCATTGAGCTCGGCGATGTTCTGTGCACTCCAAGGCGCAGGCAATCTCAGGCAAATCCACGCATATCATATGGTGCGTGTTACAAGCTGTTTTTTGCACTCACTTCGTCCAAGACTCCGGTCGGCAGCAGCTGGGCACATTTCCAAACTTTTCAAATATAGCATGTGACAAGTACCCATGTCTCGGTGCCATTTAGAGTGTGCACGGCAGTTGACCCCCGCGGCTCGCCCAAACAAAAGAAGGATTTTTGTTCTGTGTTGATGTGTTTCTTTCCTGCAATGCTCGGTTCCTCCTTGGTGCGGATCTCTCGACAGGAAGGACGCTGGCTTAGGGCCAACAGGCCTCCCGCATGTGTAGTATGGAGAATGACAGCAAGATACAGCAAGTACGGAAAGAAGGAAGGAATGAAGGCAGTGGAGCACGCGGCAACAAACTTGGCTCATGCCTGAGCTACACGCTTCAAATCAAAAGAATCAACATGTTTTAAGAGAAACTTGTGAGCATCGTGAGCATCGAGCACTGCATCGCCTTGTCGCTATTCTCTCAGCTATCTCTGTTGCAAAGAATTTGGCGCAATGTCCGCAATCACCATGCCAGCCTGGGACATGCCAATCAATTTTTCAAAAGTAGCATCATCTCCAGCAATGAATAACTTGAACACCTTCGGATGTGTAACTATTGCGCTGTCTCACCATTCGTTTGATTTCTCAAGGACAGTAGTTCCTCCAAACTGCATAGGTTGACTGGGCCCCCTCACTAGAGTTGAGCGTGTTTCCTCTTCGTGTTCCAGTGAATGTTCCACACCTTGATCAAGCGGTCGAATCACAAATCGATAGTTTTGGACTTGGCCTCTTGAAATCCTGCAGTTCAAGGTGATAAGGCGAACTAGCTAGGTCTACTAACATAATCCTCACTCAGCAAAAAAATAAAACGCTTTCAGCCTACCTACTTATCAAAAATCATCTTCTGGGCGCCGGAACCTCACGCTCACGCAATTTCAGCACTCCCAAGTGAACTCGGAGAAGTGCTGAATGATGTTTTCAAAAGGTGCACAACTGAGAACGCTAATCGGGATCGCGCACGGGATCATAGGGCCTGCCGGCAGCTTATAGAATGCAAAAAGGCGAAGCGAAGAGACGATCCTCGCTGGACCCGAGTCTGAGCACCGTAGTCTCGCGAGGGCTTGGAGCGCAGCTTCAGCGGGCTTTTGGGCATCGCGTGACCCACAGGATAAACAAGATGACAGAAGGAAGAAAGAAAAGCGATAACCAAAAGACCACAACGAAAGATACCCGGAACTTGCTTGGGAGCCGCGCACTGCCACTACTTCGACCAACCATGGCAGCTTGGGTGCAATCCCAGCATAGCTCTGGCATGTGCAAGGCCCTTGAGGAGGGGACGAGAGGGCAGCGGAGGAGAGACAGACAAGCAACTGGATAGGGAGTGGAGATTTTCAGTACTGGAGTGGAGAGGTATTTCAAGCTGGGAGAGTTTTCGCAGTCGGCTAGCGCACGGAGGAAGATGGCATGAGAGTGCGGAAAAAGCTTAACGGGAGAGATTTTGTCGAC